ACAATATCCTTAAGTTTGACTATTGTTTTAACTTGTTTACAAAGATAAAAATAGAAGTTATAAAGATAAAATAGAGGAATTTTAAGTTTCTTAGTTGCAGGTAATTTGCTTTTAAATTTTTTTTTCCAACACACATAAAAACCGAACAAGAATTATCGTATTAATTTCTCAAGGATATATTTTGCTGTATATTTTAATATATAGCTAGACTGAAATATTCTTTAATGGTAATAAACATGGAATTAGAAAAATACATATAATTTTATTTTTAGCTTAGAAAATTCATTTGATTTTTTCTTTCGTGCCAGTGGGCATTTTTCATAAACAAACCAAATATATATAGCATAAATGTATGTTATGGCCAGCATTTTGCAAAAAATGAGAATACTTAAATATTATATGTATATAGAAGGTAGATATTAGGTTTAGATTACTATTAACTTATTTCTACAAAGAAATTTTTGCCCAACTAAATTTACTAGCGACCTACGCAAATACCTGATTTAGTTTAATTTCAAATATGCATAGCAATTCTAAAACCCAATAGATCTTCCTTAATATTTATATCTTAATGATTGGCGGCAGTATCAAGTTGATTTATACAAAATATTTGCTTTTCTTATTTTATTTGAACTTACTTGAAAATTGATTTAACATGTCCATATTGTGGTGTCTTTTAAAACTCGGTAATTTTTGAAAATACTTTTCAAGACAGTTATTATTAAATCGTTTTAGAAAGCAATATTATTAAGTACATATTTGATATTGCATATCAAAAATTCACAATGGACATGAGGCAGTCTTATACGTTCATATGTACATTTAAGTATGTATACATTGTGATTGCTATTGTGAATTTTTGAGCCTGAATGTATTGTTTTGCAAAATTTACTATAATCACATATGTATGTATGTAGTTATACATAATTTTTTTTAATCTTAATAACAAAAATTATTCTTTATTCAGATTATAATTTTAATGGGGCAGACATAAATAATTTATACTGAAAAAAAAATAAATAAATAACAATACATCAAAATAATATTAATGACAGAGAATAATAAAAATCTATAAATAATGAATTCGTAAATTTTTAATATGCATGTATGTATGTATGTAATAGGTAGCGAAAATTTATTCATCAACTGGAAAATTTCAATTAATTACGCTATAAAAAGAAAATTTTTAAAATTTCATTGTTAATTCATATTAAGAATATTATCATAATAAACAAAAATTACGTCACAATTTAAAATTGCAATCACAATAGCAAATTTTATATGGCGCGGTTAAGGCAACTCAAATATGATTAAAACGCGCTACGCAATTATTAAACTGTATTCTATATTATGATACGGAATTGTACTTAATGACTTGTATAAAATGTAAATGTTAGTCAAAATAGTTTAGCATTAAATTTATATGTTCTCATACTGTGTTAATCTTTGGTTAATTTATTTTTGGATGAAAAAAATTTTAAGATTTTTTTACAACTATATTGAATTTTGAATACTTTGCTTTAAATGTTAGTATTTAGTACTCCATAACTTTAATTACTGGAAATGAAAGAGAGTTCCTCTACGAAATGGTTCTCTGTGGTCAAAGAGGTTTTCCATGAATAACATTGAATTGAATTCACACAAATTTTTCAAAAATAAATTGAGAAACAAACGTTGTAAATCGTGGTTTATATCTTATAACTTTCTTTTCACAACCAGAGCTAATTTCTCTTTACTTTTGAGTTATGACTTTATTAAAGCAACATTAAACTATAATAATTGATAATCAATATTATACAAATTATGTGTAACGTGGATATGCAACAATGGTACATAAATCGAATTGAATTTTAGTTTTCTATATAGAATAAAACTAACAATTTTTTTCTCGCTTGTTTATTTTATTATAAAATTTTTCATTTAATTTTCTTATACAAAATATACATGGTATTATAATATTTAGGTAAGGTTTTAAAGAAAAATATCTGATTATGTCTTATTAAACATGAAGTCTGTGGAAAGAATAGTATTTTGTTTTGAAGGTTCCAATGAAGTCAATTAATTATATGAGTAAAAATTTTTAATGATTTAAAAAAAAACAGCGCTTCTTGCTCTAAATTTTTGGGCATTTAAATAAAATTATTAATTTCAAATATTTTAAGTGATTTTTTAAAAAATTCGAAAGAATAAAAATAAATTTGAACTTATCGAGTTCAAGTGTTCATGTCAATTTTTTTACTTCAACTTAATCAGAATCCGGTATATGCTTTTCCAATATTAAATTACTTTTAAAAGCAGTTTTTTTTGTCCAAACTGGATCAAACTTTGAATGTTTATCTAAATACGGATAATCCCAACTTTAATTTGGTGTTAATTTGGCTTAAACATCTACCACCTTGTTACAGCAGTAAAACTAAGTATGTATAAGTATGTATACATACAATCTATCAGTATCGACAGCTGAATTCTTATGAGCTGAATTAATAGTTTAATCTTTGGAATGAGCTTTAATAGCTTATAATCTCTGGAACGAGCTTTATATTAGTTGCGATTTTATTTTAACGAAAATACTAGGAATAATTTGTCCAATTAGCCAAATTGGATTATAAAATTCAAAAATAATTCGTCCACTGAATGCGATATAAACCCGAACTACCCTATACTAACGAAAAATGACGATTTTAAATTTTTCTTTAAAAATAAAATTGGTTTTTTATTTTTCAAATATTTATATTTTATTTTCAATCATAAATTTCTGAAAGAGTGGTGTTTTTAGCAAATCATATGTACATACATATAAATATACGAGTATTTTTGTTTGCTTTGTGCATATGTGTGAAAAAACGTACTAATTTACCAATTCTTTTTTTTTATTTAATTTGTTTTTCAGAATTTTGTTTAATTTTCGCCGCAAAATTTTTGCAATTTGTGTAATTTCTTACATACCAACGTACCTACATACATACATGTATTATTTTATTTTGAAGCATCTAAACATAGTCTTAAACGCGGCAGAATATTTGACGGCATTTCAATTTTTGTATATAATTGCATATACTCGTAGTCTAATCAATTAAGTTTTTTTTTTGTCTGATTGAAGAAAAATGCATTTTTGTTTTGCCACCACCACAAAGCCTAAAAATATTTTGAAGGAAAAATAAATAAAAATTGATTAAAGATGCGTCAATAAAAAATTTTCAAAAACTACACCTCAATAGCCTTTCATTCTTTAGCTAATTTGCAAAATGGTTGCAATTTTTTGAATTTTTTTTGTCTGGCTCCAAAGAAGAATACAGGAGGTTAACAAAATATGTAAGAAAATCATTAAAAGAAGGCATTTTGACGCCTTCTTATGTATTAAAATTTTTCTTATATTGATGTTTTTGTTGCTAATTTCGTGCGGCCTCTGTATGTTATTTTATTTTTATGAAATTTTTTTGTTTTCAGGTACATATGCGCGTATATATGTTATATGTTATTATATCACATATCGTCGCCTTAGGATTAATTTGACAAAATTTAATATGCCTTTATGTCGTGTGCCAAACATTTAAATCATATTTGATTTTTTCTTTTCAAATAAGTGGCCGCTCTTTGATGTGCGTATTAAAAAGCATTTACGGCGGAATATTTCTTATTCTCTTCAAAAATTTTAAGACTGGGAATTTATATATGCATGTATATGAATGAAACACATATTTATGTATGTATTTATGGAAATTGAAAATATATATTTTTTTTTAATTTAAAGAGGAAAAACAAAAAGTTGAATTACGTTGGCGCAACTTCACACATGTATTCGACATTTCATTTATATATTTTTTTTTCATCTTTTTATTAGACGATCAACAGATGGATTTATAGGAATTATTGGTTTTTCCGATATTATAAATTTAATTGAAATATATTTTGAAATATTTTAAAAATTTTAAATAAAAAAAAATTTAATTTATAAAAAAATTGCTATAAATTATTAATAATTTGGATAATTTCATTTTTTTGTTAAATTACGACCTTAATATGACCTTGAATAAATAATTTTGGATTTGCGAATTTTGCTTTCTTATAAAAATGATGAATTTTTTATTAGATATTCGCATATTGTATATCATAGTGGTATATATCACCATAGTGCAGATATTGTTGTTCATTGGTGTTACTTCGGAGGTTTTGTGATAGAAAAAATCTGGAGAACAGAGGCAGAGTTAATATAAAATTTAAAAGTATGAATTTTCTTTATATTCGAGTTTTCGACTTTAATTTGGGTTGTAATGCGCTTATTATTGGAAGCTTGTAATAAAACAAGTAAAAATAATCTAGTATTTAAACGATTGACATGTAATATATTATGTTAGCCTCGTATTATACAAAATATTAAATTACTATTCTCATGATATTAATAACTATTTGCACTTCGATGACATTTGTATTGTAATTTTTACAATCAATCCAAATTTTCGATATATGAAAATTTAGTCTTCAATTATTGCCTCAATTTCTCCATATGCGAGTAGAAAATATTTTTAATAAAATGCTTTCTAATTCGTCTAATTTATTTAAAACTTACGTAATTACTTTTTTGAGTCGGTATGTTTATTCCATTGTTGACTTAGTATTGCTACTTTTCGGGGATACAATATATGTAAATGTTACAAAAGGAACAACTGATATACATGATGAGGTGTTATTGTGCGAAAAAAATTTCTTTAAAAATCCGATACTCTTTATGTTTTCTGTACTCGAAAATCAGGTTTTCCTTTGAAGGATTGTCAATAGTAATATTAAAACAATTTTAATTTGAATCAGTAAATATAGCAATTTCTTTTAATATTATCCCATTTGTAAATTTCATACAATTTTCTATCTGACGCCATTTTGTTTTTTGAGTAACCAATTTGATAGTGATATTTTTAAGTTATAAATTCACATTTAGCATAACTGAACAATTATAGGTGAATTGACATGATTAGTGTATTTTTTTTTTGTTTTTTATTTTTCAGTATGCAAATCATGATGATTTAATAGATGACCCTGATGACGATAATGATTCAGATGAAGATGAAGGTCAATTATTAAGTCAATTAGAATTCGATTCACATGATTATGATGATGCAAAACACAGCACAAATAAAAATCATTCAAAAGAAGATGATGATTTAGAAACTGGAAGTGGTAACTATGATGATGACGATGATGATGATGATGACGATGATTTAACTTATGATGATGATGAAGAAGATGATGATGATAGTGATAGTGGACATCTTGATGAAGATAATGGTGATAAATTATTTGATGATTATGAAAAATTTATTGTAGCTAAAAAGCGGTAAGTTAGTAATATTTATTATATAAAGTAATATTTTGTAGATGAGTTGAAAATTTTGTTTAATTTATAAAAATTTTAATCATTCTAAAGTATTGTAAAAGATGATTAAAGAATTTTAGTTAGATAGCACATTTGTACTTACAAAAAATTTATAACGAATTTCCATATATATGAAGATTCTGTAAAGGGTAAGATCGAATGGAGATATTTCGAAATAGATCTCAAATCTAAACGGTTTGTGGGCTATAGTACTTTAATAAAATTTTTATGTTTTGAAAGAAAATGTCGTGCCATTGAAAAACCCATATCGTGAAAACTGCGAGACTGCGTAACTGTAATAATATTCAACCGTAAGACGCATAATCTTTAAATCTGCATCAATGGGTTTTGTTAACAAAGCTTCCTCTTAAATGCAAAACCTTAAATATAATGGTTTGGGTTATTTTCGTATTCCTTGCTTTCTTATTATTGCAATACACATTGGCAATGTTTTCAAAATACACAAATGTATAGTAAAACAATAACCAAGCAACAAAATTTTAATGACTTTAAATGACTTGAAATTGGTTTAATTTCACTGAATCCTTTCACCAACCTAACATAAAATCTTTTTAATCTATTTTATAATATTTTTTTAGACGAACGCGATCGGTTTCTCACCTCAATGGTTTAAAAACTGAGCAAAAAGATGAACATTCGGGAATTGTAAATAACAGAAATGATTCTCAAGAACACAATAAAGAACACAATAAAGATACTAAAAAAGTTGGAGCGAAATTGGAATTGAAATTTGATAAAAATGATAATGCTGATGATGAAGTGTAAGTTTTGTACCTTTGGTACAATTACAGAAAACATAATTAAATATGTACGTATATGTAACATTTAATTTATTTTCTATTTAAATAATTTTCAGTCCATTATCAAAATTCCATTTAAAAGATTTGAAAGCAATTAACGAAGAAAATATTGAAAGTAGTATTAAACATCATCATAAGAAAATGGATGATTTAAATTTATTAAATATTAAAGCACAAGACCCTCAAGTAAAACATAAATCAAAAATATTATCAATATCTGGAAAAAATAAACAACACAACAATCATAATCAACATCATCATCAACAACAACATCAGGATCATCAATACCATGATTATGTATTATATCCTTACAATACCCATAAAAAGAGAATGCATACTCTTGTTGAAAATGATGATATCAATAAACAAGCAACAACACCATCAACAACATCAGGAGGAACAGATAATATCGTATTACAGAAAAATAAAAGAAAATATATAAAAATTAAAAATGGAGAAGAAAATATATTAAATCAGAATCATCGTTATAGGACAGGTAAGTAAAGGATAATGACGTGACTTTTTCTAAATTTAAAAAAAAATATTGTATGTATACTACTATAACTAAAACTATATGGTATATGCTTTAATAGTAGATGTATTACATATATGTTACATACAATAAATTGGAGATGTTATACAAAGTGACTTATGAGTGACAAGCATTCAACTCTTAAATTTTAATTGATTATAAATGTTGTTACACAAATTTGTTTGAAAAAATGCCGAATACTCATGTTCCCCCAGAACTCAGTATTCAGAATCAAACCCCTATTAAATTTATTTTCCCAATTGTAATTAGATGTAAAAGAGAGTTAACCTTATTGTAATCAAAACTTGTGACTCCCCCGATACATGTGAGATTATTTTTTCCTATTCGAGGCTTCCAATAAATTGTGCGTCAAAAATATATTGTTTATAATTTAAAACGTTCTCATTTATTATGTGAAGTTAGAAAAAATACTTTGACAAAAAATGTTCTTGTTTAATTTTAATTTAATAGTCTCTACTTAAATTGGTTTATTTTCTCCTTAAAAGTGTTTATATTTTAATCGAGGAGTTGGAATATTTTTCAAAGTGCTTTTTCGGAAACTATTTGAAATTTTGTTTAAATATCTTTTATGTTTTTCAAGTTCGATTGTAATTTTTTTTACACATTTAATTTAAGTAATTTTTTTTTATTATTTTAGGAAAATTATATACATACCATCAGGAAAGGAAAAATCTAAATATAATTGCTGCTCATTTTAATTTGAATCGTTTACCCATCAGAGAAATTTCCAACAAAGGTAAAAAAAAATATTATTTGTTAATTCATATTTTTGTATGTGGTGGTCAGTAAATGATTTTTGTAAAAATCGAAACAGAAAATAAGGGAAATTTAAAAAAGGCATTTCAAACTCTTGTTATATTACGGGCCAAATTTTCTATTGAATTGTGGGTGGTAAGTCTTTAAATATACAAAAAATTTATAAAATGCGGTTGAACATTTATATTTGATGTTACGCATAATTCAAGATCAATGTATTTTCTGTAAATATGCAAAAATGTATTCATAAGGTTATTATAATTTTCAAATTATCATTTGCCATCGGAAACATACGTCCAAATTTGGCAAATTATTTGTTATGTTTTTGTGTGTTTGTCATAATTATATAGAATTTTTTGTAATACTGTGTAATATTGTACGCGAGCAAAAATCAATTTTCTTAAATTTATTAACTTTGTTTTGGCAAACATTTTGTTGAAAAGTGTGTGTGGGCTGGAAATGTAGTATTTAGATGTTCTATGTGGCCCTCGGGCAGCGTTTTTTCATATGCCTTATTTAAAAGATATAAACAAGTTCAAGGATTCTTCAGAATCCCTCGCATTTTATTATGTTTCTATACAATAAGAAAAGATTCTTTGAAAATCTCATTTCTCTTTTTTTTTTGTTTTTATTTTGCTCATCTCTATTCAAAATGGATTTTTTTTGTGTTTTCACAAAAGTATGAAATTATTCTCTTTTGATCCTAGACTTATTGAATAATTTCTTAGAAATTGTTAATTTTTGATTATAATTCAAGGTTCAATGATTTAAGAAGTGCTTAATGAGTTTTTTTTCCTTGATTTTATTTTGTTTTCGAAATATTTTATGGAATCGTTAGCATTATAAAATTACAAAAAATTTTTATTTTTTGAAATTTATGTAAACGCACAAATTCTTTTTTACAAATGTAAAATTACGGATATTACGCAAAAAGTGAGTTTTAAGTATAACAAAAAAAAACTGTTTTATTTTAATTACTCCAATAATTTTAAAAAGAAAAGGGAAAAAAGTGTTGTTTGTTTAATTAGTTTTTTAAGGACTAATGAACATCAGAATTTTTTTTAATTTTAGGCCGAATTGTATAAATTGGAATAAATGTATTATCCTTGAAAAAAAAATTATTATACATGAAATGTACTGGAATTTAGTGTTCGTTTCGACCGTGTCATTTTAGATTATAAGCTATCTTAATACTAATATTAATATAGTAAATTTTACGTGTTATGAAAGTTGCAGTTATTAAATAAAATATGAGAATTTAGTAATGAAATTTTGTAGCTATACTATTATCGTTTTTTACGAGATTATTTTTTTAAAACTATTGTAAGTACGCATGAAAGAATTGAGAAACGAATCACTTATTGAATGATGGTGATATTTTTCGTTTAAATTTAACTATGTATTATTATTGTTAACACAAAATGATTGATACAAGTCATAAGCCCGATTTAGTGATTCCCTTCTCATAATAAGAAGTATACAAGAAAACATTAATATTTCTGATATTTTTTTCAATAAAGTTAAGTTTGTTGTAATTTTATATGGCTAAATAGTCCTCTCTTAACACCTTTTCCTATTCATTTGATAATTTGCTTAATTGCAATTATTTTACAATTTATTCGCAACTTTGTATAATGTTATAAAAAATATTTCCTTAATTAATTTTATGATTTAACAAAGAAATATTCTAATTTTCATTTTTTTTAGTATACTTATTATTTGAATTTTATTAAGAACATGAGAACAATTTTTTATATAATGATATTAATTCATTGGTAAAATAACCTTTATTATAAAACAATTTCTTAATGAACCCCATAATGATTTACGAATTATTTTTAAATTAACATAATTAATATTTCTTTTAGGATTTAAATTTCTCTTAAGGCTATGGTTTTAGCTTCAAAATTCGAAAAATAACATTACATAATATAAGTGTATATTAATTTCATTAAATTCATCTTTGCCGGTGCTAGTTACACAAGACATAAATTTTCACCTTAATTATTTAAAATTTAAAACTACAGACATTTAGGTACTCCTTTTGTATGAATTATTGGTGAGAAATATTTTAAGTTCTTAGTGCAAAAGTACTAATATCAATTTATTTTTCTGTATCCTAACCGAAATTGGAAAATATTGCATAACTTTAGGAGAGCATGAGTTGATAAAAATGCAATAAGCATTAAGTTCACTGATTCCATATTTTTGCATAAAATAAGGGGTACATTAAAGATTTGTGCTTATTTCCCCTGGTTTGTAGAAACATTATTAATAGAATTCACAATTTTTTCAAGGACTTCTTAAATTTGTCTGAGTTGTGAGTGTAGATAAGATTCATGTGATATTTTTATCATGCTACTTATGTATGTGATGATCCTAATCAAGATTGATACTTAAATGATAATTTGATAATTTTTAACTAACTTATGCTCTTATAGAAATACATAAAGTTTTCAGCTTATTATTTTTTTTTAATATTTCTGCTTTTGAAAGAAAATTTTTTAAAATTTTATCGCCATTTTTATATTGGTAAGGATGATCATGCCTTCTGTGCTCAAAAATTGTGCGTTTATATAAAATAGAAAAATTTTTAATTCGAAAATGCATGAATTTGTACTATGGTTTTTTTTCATGTTTCAAGAGACATATGCAAATGCTAGCTCTTGCAAATCAGTATAATTAAATTTAATTTACTCCCATATCATTAAATAGTTTACAAAAAATTCAACATAGTAAATAACATTAGCATGATTCTTCCTCTTTTATATGTAAATGTAAAAAAAAATTACTCACATTTGGGTACAATAGTGAGGTTATCCTTGTTACGGTGACTCTTTATAAATAATCCTCTTCCTACTTTGTTATGGTTTATATTTATTTATATTCCTTATACAAAAATTATGCTGCCTCATAGTTTTCATTATAAAAAACAAGCATTATAATATAAGAAGTAGGTACATAGAAATAAATTATATAGCTATACGTATATTTTTGTTAAGTACCTACATGTTATCTTTTTTATATAATCTTGTAGGTTAGAAAACATAATATAAAATATGCAGTAGAATATATACTTTCAAAAGATCAACAACTTGTTATATAGAAAAAAAACTTAATTTGAAATTCATTTATTCTTATCCTTTAGTTCATTTCATCCTTCTTTTCATACCTGAGACATGGGTTTAGAAAAAAATTTATGTATTTTGAAAATACTTTTATAATTTAAGGTGAGGTATATATTATTTATTATGTTTTATTGTTTAACGGCCACTCCTTATTTATATACTATTAAGGATTTAGATCAGAACTTTGTTTTATTTTTCGATTTTAGAATAAAAATTATTTATTGTTATTTGACTAGCTTGAGTTCACAATTTTGCGTAATTTTGAAAATCAGAAGTTGAACGAGGTAAATTTAAGTAGTTTGAGTAAATTTATTGTAACATCAAAATTGTAAGCGTTCTTTAGTTATGTTCAGAATATAAAATTTTATATAAGCACAAATTTCAAAAAGGGATCTGTTTGAAATAAAACCCACAGCTAAAATAAAATATGAAATTAGTAGAACCATTAAACCTATAATGGAGCACAATATCGAATGTATTAGAATCTTTAAAGTTTGTTACAAAAAGTTAAAATATTTGTAATTCATGAGTATGAAATAAAACGGAGTTAGAGAATAATAAAATATCCTGAATAAAAAAGAACTGAGTGAAAAATTAGTGAGTAGCATAGAATGCTGGATGATAAATTTACAATGATCTCATTTGTAATTGAAAATGTTGAAACAACGATTAACAAAATATGTAACATAAATAGATCCATAGAAAGTTCATAGTTTGATGCATTGTATTAATATAGTAACAAATATTTAAGAAACACCTATAATTTGTGACTTAATTTTTCCTTAAAAGTTTCTTTAAAATTTAATAGTTTTAAATTACAAAATTATTTGGGGAATTTCTTACGTTTCGATATAAAATTATTGTGAATGTGTTTATTATTGAAAAATTTGCCTTTACATATTTATTTAATTTTAATTTATATTTCAGATGATGAAGTTTTATTAAATCATCAACGAGATTTTGAGAATAGTATATATTTACCAACAATATCACCATGGTCATCAAAAAATCAACTTATAAATTTAAATAATCAAAAACACCATCATCATCATCATCATCAACATCTATCATCTAGAATTGATGCTGAAAATATACAAATGGAATCAACAACATCAAATATACAACATCAACAAGGATTATTACCATCCGTTCAAAATGGTATTGTAACAGTTCAAGTACCAGGAATATATTATATATATGCGCAAATATTCTATCATAACAATAAGGAACGTAATGGTTATTGGATTTATCATAATGGAAAACCATTTATACAATGCTCTTTAACAATACCAAATGATAATATAGAAAAGGCGAATACTTGTTATACAAGTGGTGTTATTTATTTAATTAAAGGTGATACAATACATTTAAAAGATATGTATAAGGATCATAGTGCCATATTAGGTACATCGAAAAGTTTCTTTGGTTTAGTTAGATTAGGTGATGCTGAATATTATCATTATAATAGATAAAATGATAATTTTTATGATTATATAAAAAATAAAAGATAAATTTTTATATAAATTATAAATTTAAATATAACTATACATACATAATTATATAATATATATATTATATTAAATTTATTTTTAAGTACCCGTTTTTTATATGTACTCGTATAACCTATATACAGAATGTTTCGTTCAAAGTCATCAAATTTTCAGAATGTTAAAAAAATACAAAATCAAAACAGTGTTGTTTTTTCTATTCTAATGTTAACAATTTCCTAAAAATTCAAAAAATATAGAAAACTACTTCGAATTTTTAGCTGAATGTTGTCGCTTTTTTTCCAAGTTGAAAAATTAATTTACCTCTCTCCACTTTTATAATCTTCGAAAAGGATTAAGGGAATGGAATAGGACCGAATGTTCATTTAATTTTTTGATCAAAATCTTTCTGTCTGAGACTTATTTTTTAATATATTTTGAAAGTTAAAAAAATGACTGATTTTTTAAAATTAAAATATTATTTTAATAAGGAATTGAATGACTTCTTTGGCAATATTTTCATATCTGTTTTTAGTTCTTAAGATCTACATTATTAGAATAGTGAATTATCTAAAGAAAATCCATTTATTAAAGGTTTTTTTCAATTTCTCTAATCTTTTTATACCCGCGTAACTTTAACACTTAATGGAACACAACATGTTAATTGAAATGTTAGAATTTGGAATCATTTAAGGGTCCGTTTCCTTATAATCAATTCTTTTCATACGAAAGAAAAAGAAAGGAAATGAAACTTTTTTAACTAAAAAGGATAACGTAAAAAAAAAGTTTTCGGATGAGTAATACCATAAAAAAGGATTTTATTAAAAACTCCATTTGAGTGCATCTATTACGTATTGAAAAAATGAGTACTTTGAATAAAATTTTCTGTGTTAAAATATTTTAAAAATTATAATTTGTAATATTAAGATATTAATGGTAAAAGTTTTAAGAATATAAAAGATTCATAAAGTCTTCTAAATAGACTTCATAAGTATTATTGAAAAAATATTTTTATAAGAAATTATAATAAAAGAACCAATTAATTAAAAAAATAAATGAAAACGAGAAAATATTATAATTGAGAATAATTTAAGTTTGAAGTTACAATTGAAAATTAAATTTTTGTAATATGGCAATTGCGTATGAAATTTAGAAATATCTTGTTTGACTCTTTAAAATTTTTAATTTAATTGAAGATTGTTTTCAATGTTATGTCCTAATAAATAATGCTTGAATCTGTGTTGAAAAAGTTATTTCAGATATTTAAAGTGGGTTTCTGATGTTCTATTTATAGTAATATTTTATTAAATTTTCCTGAAATAAGTCATTATTAAATTCTTCTTAAAATATAAAGTTGCACTGAAAAGGATTTTCTAAAACTTTTGGGATTAATTTTAAATAGAATATAATGAGCGTATGTCAACCTAAACGTATAAAGTTTAATAATTCTATTACAATATTTTCTACATGAAAATAAATATTAGGGTTGTAGTTTGAAATAAAAATTCTGCTCTAAAATAATTAATTTAACATTCAGTTTATTTTAAAATTTTTGATATAAAACTTAATTAATGGATGTATAATTGATTAACATATAATATTTATAGAGAAATGAATTTATTGCTCATTATCTTAAATTTCAATGTAAAATTCATTTTATTCGGAAATATTTTATTTTTCTTTGATTGAAATTTATTCATTTAAAATGAAATTAACTCGATAATTAAGGTTGATCTGTAACATTTTTGGCATACAAGTAAATATTTTCAAAAAAAATATATATTTAATAATAAAAATTCTCAAAAAAATTTAAAACACAAAACACAAAACATTTGTAACACCTACATCCCATTTTTTTACGTGGGTATTTTATACTCAAAATTATTTCATGTCAAAATTTAATTGTTAATATTATTTTTTTTGCTTTTGAAATTGAATGCTTTTCATTGTTACAAAAGGTATATTTTAATTATTGTGAAAAATTTTATTTTATAATTATTATTTTTAATGTACGATTTAACTTTTTTTTTCTGGAAATATGATTTAATTTGGAAGAAAAGTCTCGAATTATTTCACTAATTAGCTTAATTTAAACAAAAAAAAATCAATGTAAGGTTTTTTTTCTATTTTGAGGGTTTCGTTGACAAAGGAGTATTTTTTAATGCTCGTGTAATTAAAAAAAAATCAACAAAGTATTAATTATACGAAAATAAAGTGAATTTAAAATTTCATATGAATCGAATTAAATAAAAATATTGTAAACATTGTGAATTATTTTGATAAAGTTTTAATTTGGAATAAAATCTGAATTAAAGTAAAATATCTATAAAATATAAGTATAAAAGTTAAGTATAAAATATAAGTATAAAATATTTTACATTTGCATGCAAGAACCGAATTTAAATGTAGCTTTTTATTAAAAAATATTGGTTCCTAGAGTGCATAGTTTATTACCAATTAAATAGTTCAATTAAACCTTTTTTTTCAGAAAGAATGTGTTTAGAGAGTTTTGTGTTCAAAAATTAAAAGATTATGATTGTATTATATTTAAATCAGTTAAAGAGTACAATTGCACTCTCCGGCACAGTTCAACTTTAAAAATTAAAGTCTCTCTTAAAAGCCACTTAGAAGTTTTAATATCATTCCTTAATCATGTAGTTTCTATTTGGTGATTTAGTACGTTTTTAAAAATTTTTAAAGGAAAAGTAACATAAAATTTTGTAATTCACAACACTTTTTTATTAACTTGACCCTCAATTTTTATATTGTATACGTATATGTATTTTTTATACAACGAACGTCAATTTCAAATTTTTAATACTTTCATTAAATTATTCTCAATTTTTACTGTAATTATTAATTTACCTATTATTTTGAAAATTGCCATTAATCCGTAATGTTCTTAAAGTAAATATAATGTTCTGTTTCAGTTTTAAATAATATCATATAAATAATTATACAAACATATATACATACATTTTAATAATAATAATAATAGCTTTAAGGATTTTTTTTTAATATGCCAAAATATAAATAAGGTAACAATTAAAATAATATTATCTACCTAATTTTGAAAATATTTCGTATACATATTTACAAAAACTTACAATGAATGAACATATTTTATATATTATATAATAACAAATATTTCATGAACATATGAAATTCCCCACAAAATAAGAAAATAATCTTTCAAATTAAATAAAAAGTTTAATTGTAAATTTTTTATCTAAAAAATTTTTTTAGAAATTAAATCCAGTATATTGTAATAGGCTATATATAGTAGGGCTGTTTTTTTTTAAACTCTGATCCAAATCATATTATATTATTATATACAATTAAAATTATTAAAATATTATATTAAAATACACAAAATGAATATTAACTATTTATTAAGAAACGAAAGAAAAAAGTATTTTCAAAATTAAATAGCTATTTTAAATAATTTAAATAATAATAATCAATTAATTTAATAGTGTATAAAATGAAAAAAAAACATTTTAATGTATTTAGTACGAATTTAAAGTAATTTCGAACGTACTTGTGAAAAAAAAATAAATATTTAAAACTTTTTTAATTAAGTGTTTTAAAAAGAAAAATGTTTAAGAATTTTATATAAAAAAAATGTTTTTTTAATAATAAAATATAAATTATTAAGAAAGTATGAAAGTTTTTAAGGATACTTTGTATCTTTAAATAATGCATAAAATAAAAGTTCAAAAAAAAACTTTATTTATTAGAATTTTTACTTTTGTTAGAATGTTAGGAAGAAAATCATTTCATAAATAATTTTAAAATTAATTTTTGTAAAAAAAAACGTAAAAATGCATAAAGAGTGGAAAACTATGCATACGGCTATAGCAAATTCAATTTCAAGAAATATTGACCATTGGGTTCAAATTCATGCCGGATAGATTTTTATCATTTATCTTTTGAAATTTAATAATTTAATTGAATAAACATAATCAGTACAAATTCTGATATTAATGAAATTATAACCTTAAATTTTAATCAAGGTTTATACTATTGACATCTGAAATTGTTCATTACCTTCAACTTTAAACACAAAAGATAATATTGTTAAGCTAAATAGCACATGCAATGTTGTGTATAAGTTGTTAATTTTACTTGGAAGCAAGTTTAATGAATGCCACATGAAATTCTAAAATAACACATTGTGTAGCCCTTTTACGTTGTTGATCCGTTGATCTTGAATTAAAAAAAATTATATGCAATTTAGTAAATATAGTTCACACGAACATTTTAATATTGTGTTATAGTAAAATGTTCGTATGAAAGAATAATTCCCTAATGCAAAAAAAATTGTTGAAGGGAAACTTCTTATTCTTGGCAAAAATAAGGATCTAAAAGTACATATGTTTGTATACGGGTGAACAAATATTATGAGAACAAATTCCCCCCATCTTGCTGTATAATATACTAAAAATTAAAGAACTCTTAATATTGTTATATAAAAGAAAACTTGATAAATGACACGTTCTTACTTCATAAGATGTGATGGAATTTTATTGATGAGAAAAATATTTTTGCAATTACACTTTATTTTCACGTCGTTGTCATTGTTATTGTTGTTGTTCTTATTTTTTTTTGTTCATTGTTATAATTTTTGTTCTTTTTATTTTTTGTTAATTTTTTACTACAAAATATGCTGCTTCTTGTATTTTTCGATCTGGAAAATTCTTTTGTAATTTTTTTTTATTTTATCTGCATGCAATATGTATGTATCTTCAGATGAATATAACTAACTGTAAAAGGCAATATTGTAAAGGAATTCTTATAGTTATACCTAAAGTCAACCGAAAAATAAGCAAGAGAATAAAATATATTTCGAATTAAAACAGTGGTTTTTAAAGTAGCACATTTGCTTGGAACAATGAAAACACCTTCATAAAAAAAATTATAAATTGTGTTTAAATTATTTTTTTTATTTTAAAATATGTCATTATTATTGCATAGTTTTAGGATGTATTAAAGTAGCTTTTTCTTACTAAGTTATGTAAGAAAAAAGTATTAACATAACGTTCGAATCTGACGACTAATTAGTTAATTGAGTATAAATAATTTAATTTTCTTAATGAATTTTGGTAAAGTAAGGAAAATTCGCGAATTTTAATGTTGAATATTTTGAAAGACATTTAGTTTGTTGTTGATATTGAAAGGCAAGGTGGTAGCAAACATTTCTGTTTCTGATAATACAAACAATTTGTTAATTTTTATAAACCATTTAACGTCTAAAAGAAAAATAATTTTCAAATTTTATAATAAAACTTATTCCATACAATTGTTAATATCTAGAAAAAATTTACTTAAATAATTAACATTTTTTGCGTTTGAAAGATTTCAAAAATGCTTGTGACTTTTCGAAAAGGTAATTGACAATAAATTGTAGTAAACAATTTCTTTTGAAGAAATAGTTTATTAAAAGATTCATTTCATACTAAATTTCAACTTTCTACCTCAAAGAATGTACAAAATTTCTAAACAAACGGATGAACGACAAGAGTAAAACAAATAAGCAAATTTGTTTGAAATGAATGAAAGAAGAGTAAAATAAATAAAAAGAATAAAAAAGGTGAACCAATGAACTTTTTTCTTTTTGTTCACTAAAGAATTCCAATAAAAGTAATAAAATCGTGTTCTTTAACTTAAGTGATATACAGAAATAGAGTCCTTTTGCAGAACGTATATGGAATCTTATAAATACACAAGAAACACACATATAAAGACGTAGATATATAAATGTTTGTATATATCTGAAATTCTTTTGTAATTTTCAAAACGGAGGTGAATTTTCTATTTTCGGATTAAAGATATTCAAAAGGTACAAACAAAGTATGATAAATATAAGAGCAAGAGAATATGGAAATGAGAATTTTAATCGTTTGATAAAGTTATTATGGAATAGACGCAACAAAAAAAAACGAAATAGAAATTAAATTTATGCCAAAGCATATTTTGAAAGTTAGTATTGAAAATAAATGGAAAACTTTTAAATTTGAATTGTCATGCACACATACGTAGACACATAAAAGTTTTAAATGCATATTATTATTATTGACATATACATTTGTTTGCTGTCATACATATTATTATGTCTATGGTATAAAGCAATGTTAAATAAGGGCAACAATTTTCCTTAAAAATAAAAAACAGAAAAACAAAACCAAAAATTCTTTATTCTTATTTTTAATCCTGAAATATCATATTGTTCCTTTTCTCTTGGAAGCCTCTGGGAAGACATTGAACACAAACAAAAAAAAAAAAATTTATTATTTTTGTGTTTTGAGTGAAAAAATGACAACCACATTAAAGCATTTTCATGCTTCGGTCTCTGTTTTTTTTTATTTTCTTATAGAAAATTCATATAATTTGAAATATGTACATTTGTATGTAATATTGTAGGCATTGAATTAGTAAATTTGAAGGGAAATTTCTAAAAATGAAAAAAAAACATAATAAAAGATGGTTTTTTTGTTATTTAATTTTGTGGTAAATTATAAAGTTTTTTAACAAATCCAAAAATTTATTATTATTTTTTTTTTAACTTTAATTTGTCGGTATTATTCGAAAATAACGTTATTTATTAAAGTCATTTTTATATTGTATGTAAATAGATTTTAAAAGGCTGGGGATTTTTGAAGATTTAAAAAAAATATAATTTTTTTTTCAACTTGTAATCACAATGCGTGTTCAAATAAAATATTAAAATAAAATTTATTATATAAGGGTCTTTTATGTACCCGATTGTATATGAAATATGTTTCAAGGTCATTAAGTATGTTGTATACATAG